ATTGAAGGTGGAAAGGTATGCATAGTACACACACACACACACAGAGTCCTACATGCATTATTTGCTAATTAATTGTACAATTTATAAATTCACATTTGTACATGCATACATGTATACATTCACAGTATGTATCTACATGTACATTTATTAGTATGATACTTTCAATTTTTATTGTCCCTTTTTGTTTGTCTGTATAAAGTGAAACTACATGTAAATGTTACCATACATTTAATGTACATGTACATGTATACACATGCTTTTAGCAGTTTGTAGCTATGGGATGTACCAGCTGTCATGTACATGTATTTTGTGAGTATACTGTATGTTCATGTCTTTCTAACTAAACTGAAACTTGTTAAATGAACTGGTATTTGTTGTGAAGACGGCTAATCAGTAAATGCATGTACATGTACATACATGTATGTCTAATTAACACTAATCTATGTATAATGCATGTATGATCAAGGTTTTATACATGTACATGTATGTACAGTAAGTGAGCTTATAAAAGTATGCTTCATGAGAGCCTTATAATGCATATGGAGCAACTTTTAAAATTCGTAAAAAATTAAAATTTGATCGGAATCAGCTCAAACTTGCTACACAACATAAGAACATGTATATGTATCAGAAAAAATTATAAAAATGGAGAATTCTCTCCTAGTCAATTTTGGCAAAATTTGCCCAAAGTCCCTGTACTATAGTACAGGGACTTTGGCCCAATTTTCGAGTAACTTCAAAAATTTATAAAAAATCTAATTTTGATCGGAATTAGCTCAAACTTACTACACAACATAAAAACATGTATATGTATCAGAAAAATTTTTAAAATGGAGAATTCTCTCATAGTCAATTTTGGCAAAATTTGCCCAAAGTCCCTGTACTATAGTACAGGGACTTTGGCCCAATTTTAAAGTAACTTCAAAAATTCATAAAAAATCTAATTTTGATCGGAATCAGCTCAAACTTGCTACACAACATAAAAACATGTATATGTATCAAAAAATAAAATAAAAATTGAAATTCTCTCCTTATCAATTTCGATGAAATTTGCACAAAGTTTCTGTACTATTATAGTACAGGGACTTTGGTCTGATTTTTGTACAATACAAAATGCATCTACAGTACATGTACATTTTAGCGTTATTCAATAATTATTTTAACTCCATGTACCGGTATACGTATGTTGTGTGTGTTTTAATTAGAAAAAACTAACATGTTAAATTGACTTTTTAATGAAGGGTATTTTTAAAAAAAAGAGAGAGAGAGAAGAGTTGAGACAGAGTACGTGTCTAGTTTGTTTATCTTCTCCTGAAGAGTACACACAAAACGTTATTCTTTATTTCTTGACTGTTTTTTTGTTAGTCCATCATTGATTCATTAGTGTCCAACTTTCAGCATTGTAACTATACCATCATTCTGTACATGTACATATGTAACATTATTTCGAAGCTAAAAGGTATACACTCTTGGGATGAGACAGATTTTAAATCTAAAACTTTTTAACGATAACATTTTATTTAGTATATGCATGTACATGTACATGTATGTATAGTCATGAAGGAGCGAAACACGAAACAAAATTTATAATTTTTAGCAGCATCAATTTACATTTACAGTACAATTTAAAAAGTGACCATGTACATGTATTTGTTAAACTATATGTACACTAATTCACTGATAGACAGACTAGGAAAAAAAAACAAATTTCTGCTTATCACACACGTACATGCTACAGTTATAATTAGCTATTACAGAAGGTAGTCTAAGGGTCTATATTAGTTCCAATTCATTTAAAGGAATGAGTCACACCCTGTGGTGTTCCATTCAGTGTTTATTGGTATCATTGACACTCAATTATGTTGGAATCCACAGGCTCAGCAGAACACCTTCCTACACAATAACACAGCTGCTAATATGGGAATGACATTATTACTATTATAAACTTAAGGAAAGGGTATAATCTCACTCTCTCTGTTTATACAGTCAACCTTCAAAATGGATGTGGCTAAGATTATATCGTACTTGCTAATATTACAGTTCAAATAATTTAATACTAATACTTGTTAATATTATGCATGTAAGTTTGCGTAGTATTGGTAGTCTCCTAAACTGCATGAGATAGACATGTACAGTTATTACATTTAGAATAGTATATAATGGTAATAGTTTTTGTCATTGATACATTGAGTGCGTCCATATGTACATGTACATGTACATCTGCTAAAAAGTTTTATGTATGTGTACATGTACATGTATGTTTACCTTTACAGGCAGTGAGTACACAGTGGAGAGTGTTTGTTACTTTGAAAATACACACGCACATGTACATGTACTTGTAAATAATTGGCTGACAACATACCTGTACTATTGGCACTCCATAGAAATTACCTCCCCCCCCAGCGTTTTATTTACTTGTACTTTTTGGCAATGATGTGAGACTTTTGTCTGTTGTTGGTTTGACATTAGGTTATTGTTGATGAGTGGTGCCCATGATAATAATGACAAGCCTCCCCTGCCAATAACAAGTTTAGCATAATGGACCCCATTCTAAAATTATTTCTAAATATGCAGTCATAGTTCTGCCTATGGTGGTCATGCGGGAGTGGTCGGGACAACCACCTCAACAAATGAACCAACCAGTTCATCACTTAGACCAACCATCCAATTAATACTAATAGCCATACATAAAGCATGATATTGTAGTCTACTAGTATGCTGTACATGAATTTAAAAGGTACAATATTAGTCTCCAACCACCTCTAGTTTTTTTCTAGGCAGAACCTTGTATACATGTACTTTTATTGTAGGCCTACATGAGTAATAAAAATGTGTGAACATAGAAATTGTTTAAATTATGTTAGTACATGAAGGGCTGTAATGTTTATTGTTGTATCTATATATGCTTGCTTTTGTGTTGTTCAATAAAATTGAAAAATAACAGCTACACCAACATACAGTACTTTATAAATGGATGTACGTGTGTACATTGTCTATGTTCACACACTGTATATGTACATGCATGTATATTATATACCATATACATATACGTTGAAATTTGCGAGTGTTTAAAATTTTGTGTTTTCAATAAAATGTGCTCGAAAGTTAATATTCGTGTGAGCTAATTTTCGTGTTCTGGCCATAGTCTACATACAATAGAATGGCATTAGAGGTGGTTTAAATTTCCTGGATTTAAAGTGAGCACAAAAATAACAAAATTTAATGCACCTTGAAACAATTAAGATGTGTGCGGTAGTTAGTGTTCATAACAGTGACTGTATTGCTATTAAATTACATTAGAAGATGGTTATAATTTTAATTTGTTACAGTTAGACCAAGCTAGCTAAGGTTTTGAGCACTTGTACACGTACATTAATGTAATATTTTACATTTTAAAGTAAATGCTGATACGAAAACCTTTTTAAGATTTTAGGTCTTTATAGATTTTGTAGGTGCTATGTAGTAATCAGAGTCAAAAGGATATGCATCTGAAAGTCTTAGGGTTAATTTATGCAATACAGTTTATATAAGTACACAAAGTGTTAGCCACAATAATGCAACCCACAATAGCTTTTACAAATAACACTGCATATAAAGCTAACTACAGCCTGGAATTCATTTGAAATGTTTCTTTTGTATCTGTAAACAATTTTTGAATGGGTTAATACAACCCTGCTAGTGCTAGTAATTTAACTTTCTATTAATGATAAATAGTAATGGTATTATAATTATTTAATCTCAAAAAAAGATGTACATGTACGTGCATGTGTACGTTGTCAATGTTGATACTGTATATGTATACCGTATAGCAGGTTTCTTCCGGTCGGTCAAACTTTCGTTCTCCAAGCTCCAAAAACAAAAATTAAACCCATGAAATTTGCTGTGGGAGAGCTCGATCCGGAGTTCATTAGCACTAACACATGCACACGTGGGTGTTATGGGTGGGGTTGTTGGGTGTGGCTTAATTCTTGCAGATCAGAAGGACAAAAATAAAACCCACAAAGTTGGATTTCCTCCTAGAAAACGAAAGTTTGGCCGAACGAAAGAAACCCGCTATATGGTATGCAGTTAGTGTTCATAATAGTGAGTGTATTGCTATTGGATGAAATGCTGATTCACACTCACAGTGTCACATACTGTATGGTACTAAGATATGAGAGGTGTTAGTTCTTGATTGTAAACTGATGGTGATATGTACAAAACACTAAACTTGGGATTAACTCTTGCTAATACACGTAAATGTACATGTGTTATTATTAGCTTCCAATTCATTATAGAAACTATGTACGTGTAGAACGTAGAATAATTAAATCATTTTTAAATACTATTGGTACATGTACAATTG